TGATTTCTCGGCACACCGGCATGGCTTCCCGTCAAGACAAAGGGGTACCATATGATGATCTTCCTGATGATGCCAGCTCCTGGTCTTCGGCTTTCGATCCTCCCAAAGACTCGGCACCCACAGAGGTGGCGTCTTGGGTTAAGAAGTCCTCCAACAAGCGCAAGAAGACCAAGAAGTCCAAGAAGTCAAAAAGGCTGAAAAAGGACCGGTCACCAAATAAGTCTCCGAAGTCCATGAAGTCTAAGAAGGACAAACGTGAGCGTTCACCTGTTCCCTCTGAAGCAAGTGATATCACGCTTGGGGATCCGATGCAGTTTCACCGAAATCCTGCAGCACGGTCAAAGGCTTGTGCAAAAATGCTGGTCAGAGCTAACCTCCGCTGTGCTTGCCATTTTTGGTATGGTGCACAGTGTCCCAACCGAAACGTTTGATTCTTATTTTGATTTGGACACCGGAAGTGTACAGGATTACATGTCACTTGCTGAAAAACTACCAGAGCAAGAGTTGTGCCCCCGTGTCCTGGAGTACGCGTTCTTCGTTCAAGCAGAGTGAAACGTGAGCAGTTGCGTCTGTGTGCCAGTGTCACTGCAAGGGTGTTGCAAGGGATGTGCAAGGGACGTGCAAGTGACGTGCAAGGGATGTGCAAGGGATGTGCAAGTGACGTGCAAGTGATGTGCAAGCAAGTGCTGAGTATCGCAGTGTTTTCGGCCAAGAGACGAGATCATCTGTGTAAGCAAGCATGCCGACGGTGCCACCTTCGGATCCTAACATCGATGAGTTCCTGAGAGCGCTCACTCATTCAGCGCGTGTGAGATTGCTCAACTTTGTATCACGACCTCAACTTCGTCAAGCTCTCGTACTTCAGTTGACAGCTTTTGTGCGTGACGGGACAGAAAGAATGCTGCAGCAAGAGTTGCGTCGCTTGGATGAGAGGGATAGAGCAAACCTGCGTGAAGAACGTCCTAGCAGTAGCGGAGCTTCAGGATCACGTTCGTCCAGATCCCACCCCTATGCACCTCCATCCTCTCTGCCAACAACGAGGAGTACACCGAGTGCAGGGAGCGATAACCCTTCGTCCAGTTCTGCACCTCCCCCCCTACCTCCCCCTGGCCCTCCCCCTCTTCCCCCTCCTCCCCTCCCTCCCCCTCTTCCCCCTCCCTTTTTCCCCCCGCCCAGTGCCAGTGCTCCTGTCTTTCCACCCCCGGTACCAGTAGCAAGCTTGGAGCATCGTGTGTCTGAACCTCCTTTGGTGTCCAGTGCTGCTTCGTCGTCGGCCGCACCTACATCTTCAGCTGCGTCAGGTACTCCGATTAGATCCAAACCTATGCCTACCAGAAGACGTGTATCACGCCGATCGCGACGCAGTCAATCGTCTGATCTTAGCTGAGTATGCCCGATGTGACAGGATTTCACTTGTATCTGTAACGCATGCGAGTGCTGAAGTGAGGAAAGATTGTGCAGCGGACGCCAGTGCTGAGAGTACTCGTTCAGTCGTGTTGTGGTACACACCAGAACAGTGTTGCAGCACCCTGCTCAAGTCTCGTTCCATTGCGCTAATGTCGAGCAACTCAGCGTGCGATCCGTTGGCACCTCTTCAACGCTGGATTTCCTACACACAACAGGAGCTGATCACAATCAGAGGTGAATTCCGTCATTTTCGCGAAGAAGCATTGTCCGTCCAGAAGATCCAACAAGCCCAACTCGACGTGCTCACCACACAAATCAGGGACACTGAGGCTCAGGTGGCGGAAGTCATGTCCGCCACCACAGAACTGTTTCAGAAACTTCAGAAGACCAACGAAGTGGTGGGGAACTTGCTGACGGATTTGCATTCTCTTCAATCTGTGACTGCTCATTGCGTTAATTCTCTTCAACTTCAAGAAACAACAGAGTTGCCCCCAACACTTCCAGCAGAAATTGAAGTCTCAGAGTGAAACGTGAGCAGTTGCAAACAAGCGTTTGTGTGCCAGTGTCATTGCAAGGGTGTTGCAAGGGATGTGCAAGGGACGTGCAAGTGACGTGCAAGGGATGTGCAAGGGATGTGCAAGTGACGTGCAAGTGATGTGCAAGCTCCTGATAAAGGTAAAAGAAACTAAAGAGTGCGCGTGTGCGGTGCTGTGCATCTTCAGGTTTCTGCATGAGCCGTCTTGAGTTGCAGCATTTGACATCCAGTGAAATTGTGTAGGTTGTCCAACATGAAGCGCAAGGCTCGCGAAGCCAATTTGCCTTGGAGTACGAGCCGCGACTACAATTTTCGGATGTGGGTTCGTGTATGCAGTCGGGCAACCGGACACGAGACTATTATTCTCCACATCCAGTTATCAATCAACGATTCCATCAACGTTGCCAAATACCTTGTCGCGATGCAGCTCTGGGAGAAGTTCGGCTGGTGGCCTAGGTTGCACACCTTCCAGCTTGTACAAAACTTTCGTCATCTTCGGTTTACAGAACCTGTCACGACTGCTCAAACCCTCGAACCAGTCGATTTCGTTGTTACGGTATAAAAAGAGCCCACCTCTGTGTCAATTCAAGAGCAGTGACGAGCAAGGGATGTGCAAACGGATTGCAAGTGATGTGCAAGCGGATTGCAAGTGATATGCAAGGGTGTGCATGAGTTTTGCTTCAAGCACTCGGAAAATTGTGTAGACCCCGAACATCATGGATTGGGCTGCTTCTGACGTGCTCGACAACATCTTGATGTACGTGTTGCCGATCAGAACCAGAATCACATTCATTACCCGTCTCGATCCAAATGATGACCCAGAAGAGGCACAACCCATAACCGACACCATGGTGGCGTACACTTTTCTGCGACGTGGGATACAGGAGTTTCGACTGTCCTCTTCGGTTGAGTGGACCATGGGCTTTCAGTCTTTGCATACCACCATCCGTTTTGCACAAATCAATGCCGCGGCATGCACCATGTTGAGCAGCCCGTCAAAAAGGTGGATGAGAGCTGTCGTAGACCTAGTACAGGAGCGTTTGCGAGTGAGTATTGTGTCACTGGCCAGCGTTGCGTACCAAACTGCAACTCAGTGTTGCATGTACTTCGATGCTGATGCGGAAGAAGCAGAAGTTGAATTGCACTTAGTGCATAGACTGCGCTTCCTGAGGTTTCGCAGCCCACTCTCCTAGGTTTTTTGAGCATAAGACTCTCCCATGAAATTCAGTGAAAAAGCAGCAAAGGATGTGCAAGGGACGTGCAAGTGACGTGCGAGGGATGTGCAAGGGATGTGCAAGTGACGTGCAAGTGATGTGCAAGCTCCTGCAATGAGCCCGGTCGGGCTTGTGTGTGTCCAACCCTGTTTCGAAGGGAGAGAAGTAGGCAGGGGGGCAAGGGCTCCAGTGATCAGCCTTGCCCAACGAAGCCAAATCACTGGAGTGGATGCAGTGGCTGATCACCACTGTGTACCTGCTTTCGGATTAGCCAGTGGGCCCCCTGAGGCACTGGAGTAACCAACACTAGAGTGACAGCTTCACGTTTGCCACTGTCGAGTTTCCTGCATGGTTGCTGCAATCTGATCATTCAGGTGTGACTCAGAGCTGTGTTTGAGTGAGGGCTTGCTTTGAGTTGCTGACTTTTCCTGACAGTATGCACCGACAGATCAGACCTGCGACACGATGTGTCAAGTGTGTGTGTGTGCGTGCAAGTAGTGGTGGTAGTAGCAGGAGTAGTAGCAGCAGTAGTCGTCGTTGTCGTCGATGTCCTGAAGTCCAGGTCGTCGTAGTTCTAGCGGTAGTGATAGCGCCGGTTGTTGTTGAGATTGTCGTTGCGGTGGTTGTGGTGGTTGTGGTGGTTGTGGTGGTGGTGGTGGTGGTGGTGGTGGCGGTGGTGATGGTGGTGGTGGTGGTGGTTGTGGTTGTGGTTGTGGTTGTTGCTGTTGCTGTTGCTGTTGTTGTTGTTGTTGTTGTGGGTGTTGTTGGCTTGATGTTGTTGCTGCTGCTGTTGTTAGGTGTGGTTGCTGTTTGTTGTCATTTTTTGTTATGTGTTGGTGTTTTCGTTTGTTGTTGTTGTTGTTGTGGGTGTTGTTATTGTTGTTGTTGTTGTTTCTGCTGTGTGCTTCTTGACGCTTGTTGTTGCTTGGTGTTGCTTGTCGTCGTTTGTGTTTGCTTGATTCTGTGTGTTGTTAGTTGCTGTTGTGGTTGTTGCTGTTGTCGTTGCATATATTATTGTATATTGTTGTCCGCTGTTTGCTGTTTGCTGTTGCTGCGGCTGTTGTTGTTGGTGCGGGTGTTATTGTTGTGGTTGTGGCGGTGGCGGTGGTACTTTTGCTTGATGTTTATGCTTCTTGTTGTTGTTGTTGTTGCTGCAGCTGTTGTTGTTACTGTTGCTGGTGTTGGTTGTGGTTGTTGGTGTTTCCGTGGCTGTGGTTCTGGTTGTCGTTGTGGCTGTCGTTGTCATCGTTGTTTTTTTTTGTCCTGGGTCACCTCCCGTCACGGCCGTGGCAGCCGGGCCGTCTGTCGCGGAAAGCCTACTAGGATTTCCCAACAACTGGCACAGTCTCACGTCGAGGCCGGTTAGTTTGCTTCTCTGGGCTGCGCACGGGGCTGATGTCATCCAGTGGCGGCTGTGCACCACCAACGAAGTCCTGACAGATGCTCAGAGCTGTTGAAGCCGACTACGAAAGCAAATGCTGGTAATGGTCAGGTATCACGGGGTCTCCGCAACGTGGGGCAAGTTTCAAAATTTTTAATTGCTTCATGCTAAATACCATGTTGACGGGGAATCGGCTACTGCACATTATCCGGCTATGACATAAGAGTCATCCGAGTTTGCAAACTGCTGCTGCAGAGACCGCCAGAGTTCCACATATGACATGAATACAGCAGGTCTGATCTCATGGACGCATGATGACGCATGCATGCTGAATTCTGATGTTTGGTGCTGCAACCGACTTGTCGACGCCGCCGAGCCTGCCACGTGATGCCGTGCTTGGCCAACCTTGGAGCAACAACTACTTGCGATCCGGCCAGAAAGCCGAGAAAAACCGCAACGGAGTTCACGGAACTGCGCTCGAAGTCTCACAGAGACGCACGGACGGAAGTCTTGGAATTATCACGGCTCCTCTGCCCAGAAGCTCAGGCTCGAGGAAGCTTCGCGCCTGCAAAAAACAGGAAGTAGAGTCCAGGTGACTCTGCTCTTCTTTCAAATGTGCTCTCATAGCGATGGAGGAAATATCCTCAATGTCAGAGGCGGCGGTTGGGGGGAGGCGCCCTCGGGATTGGCATGCATATCCAAGGCATAAGTGCCTTCTCTGAACCCAGGGGAGCTACATCGACAGGATTTTAAAGGCACAGTGCGCATTTTGCAGCATTGTCTTGAACAGGTCGTAGGATGCTGTTAGCGGTGATGCGTTTGTCGATGACTCGGAGTGTTGAGCGGTCTTGTCACCCGTGGTAACTGGAAACTCAGCCTCGCCCGGTTCTTCCTACAAGTATCCAGATCTGCCTCCAGACCAGCATCATCAGCATCACGGGCCCACTGTTTCTTGCCCTCACCGAACTGAGGTGCAGGTTCAATTGCGCATGCTTCAACTCGACAAGGAGGTTTAAAAACGAGCCGCCCAGTCCAAACCTTATTGCGTGGGAAAGAGTCTGTCCAGAAGCCCTCGTTTGGCAGGCCTCCGTACTCATCAGGGAAACTGTCACATGGAAACTGCAGGCCGTCCGAAAGCCACAGCATGTTCTTGCCATGACTTGAATGTGGTCCACAGCCCTCTGATTTACAGTGGAGCAACAATTCAAAACGACATTCACTTCACCAAGAACATAGGAATTCGTCCAAAATCGCTCGGTTGATTGTTGATCATAGCCATAGCTGATAGGACACACCTCTGGGTGAGCAGGAGGGAGGCCGCTGTCCAGAAAGCTTCACACAAAAATGGTCCGGGATAGCGTCCAGAATGCCGCTGCTCGAACAGCAAGATGCAGTCGACAGGGTTTGCTTGCGCAGGATAAAGCTTCTGGTCCAACTGATGGCAACTTTTCCGCACGGCCGGGCACGGCGTAAGCTTGGTTGCCATTCCCAGGACTGCTCTCCAAAGAAGGCCTCGGCAGCAGCCATCCGACGTCCCAAAGGAGCGCACAAAGCCGCCAAGCGTCCTGATGTCGAAAGACGTCAAGCGCTTTCATGGTGTTGCTGTGCTCATTCTGCAGATAAGCATCGAGGGAAGGTGTGGGGGTATGCCGCAGCTCGCCTTGTGCTCTTGTCAGTTCCCGAATGCAGAAGAACGCAAAGAAACTTTCCAAGAGATCCCTTCAAGCGACTTCCTTCGGCCCGGGCCGAAGCTCTCCAACAGAGCGCAGCTCCTTGGCTGCTCAGCGACGCGCTGAGACGCTTCACCGGTCCTACCGAAACTCCGTGGAACTCCGAACTCCGCGTCGAGATCTCTTACCGACGCCCGAAGTACTGCCTATGTTCGAAGTGCTTCGCGGTAGCCAACCACGAGCATGTTCACATCATGCAGAGGACATGAAGCTGGAGTGGGCTACAGTACCTTCGGCCGCTTCAATACCCGGCTTTACTGCAGCTCTGTCTCAGACCAGAGGTGCTCATCCACCTTCAAAGATGCATGGACTGATGCCCTGTCAAGCAGGGAGAACCTCATGTTGGATATTGGCCTCGTCCCAGGACAGGCCCGCGGCAACGAGCTCCTCAGCTCGATGGAAACAATAAGCTGCTGCCAAACAGGGGCCTCTCCCTCTCACCATGCGAGAGGTGGTCTGGGCTCAGACTTCATGAGACGGCACTTGACGACAGGTTGATTGCAGCTTTGACACGGGTTCCAGACGTTCGCGCAGCTCCGCAGGCGACGGCTCCGGCAGAAGCCTTTGCTGTGAGAGCAAGGCATCTTAGAATCTTAGGACTCTGCGCTTTGAAGGCCAAAGAGGCGGTGTCGGAGTCGCGGCAGGGGCAGAGGCTGCAGGAATGGGCATGGCGACCTCCGGAAGCTTGCAAATGCTGATTCGCTGATGCTTGCAGGTTAAGTGCCATCGCAGTTCTCCACACTCCGGTGCCTTCTCCTTGTCCCAGCGTGGCGCCATGGAGGCAGAGCTAGGCAGCGGTGCCGATGGCCGAGGTTGAAGCTTTGGGGGTGGAGGCGATGGCTTCTCCCCGGCCTGGAACCTCGCTGCAAACATGGAAGTAATTACATGGAGTGTCATGCGGATTCAGGCAGTGCGTCAGAAGTGCCGCTGCAGCCAAGGGGCCAATGCAACCAGGAGGCTGGCTCCTGCACTGTGCTGAGGATTGCAGCTCATGCCGTTTCTCTTCAGGGTCCGCTAAGATTTCCCGCGCCTGGACCACCTCCTTCCGTTCCATCATAGGCTGTGAAGGCTCTGCCGACTCCTCCAAGACTTCCATCTTTCAGCTGCGAGGACCACAAAAAGAAGTACTCTGCTGTCCCATCCTGGTGGCGACCAGGCGGCCGGCAATCATCCCGCTGGATGTGAGGCGCCGGCCCCATGGTTTGTTTCATGGGCATGGACCTCTGGAGGGAGCTTCGCGTGAGGAAACGGGCAGTCAGGGCTTTGCTAAGAGCTGGGCGCTACAGACTCTTCCTGCAACTCCTGACAAGTTCACGTTTCTCAAAGCGGTCCAATCCAACACCGCACTTTGATGCATTTGAAATATTCTCGGCGTCCACGGTTGAGCATAGCAACTTCATTGATGGCGGCTCCTGAGTTCTCCAAGCATAGAAGGGGTCTGCGGACCAGAGCCTGAGGGCATTGAAGCTGGGAGTGCTGGGAGTTGCGGAGATCCTCTGGGGGACGCCATGGCGCCTGCGATCAAAGCCTGGAAGAGCACTGGGATGCTCATTGAGAGCCTGCAGCCGACTTGCAAACACGTGTGTGATCTCTGGCCACTGGCCACAGCCTCTGCAGCCACATAGCCGCCAGACTCCACACCGTTGCACTCCGCCTGCACGAACAGCCAGCTGAGCCTCTTCAACCCGATGCACGCCCTGCAGCCGCCGGGGCAGATGTAGAAGGCCTCTAGCTGCAGCTGCCTTTCCAGGCGCTCCTCTTCGCTGAGGTTCTGAGCGTCAACTTGGTGCAGGAGAACGCGAAGAGTCTATCGTTTGGCCCCAAACTCCAGGCTCCGGACAGCTGTAGCCTGCGCTTGGATGCTTCTCACGACCAGCATACCTACGACCGGTCCGGAAGCCCTGAATTCCTGTAGATCACCGAGCTCCCAGATCCATGCTCGAGTGCTAACAGCTATCCGGCGGGCACACCACTTCATGGTGGCCGTGCCAGCTTGCCGATTTGAGGCCCCCCGGGTCTTTGAAACGATGGTCCTCCCAGAGGAAAACAAGAGACCTCGACCTGCTTGTGAGACCTTGTGAAAGTGAGAGTGCATGTGCAAGTGAACATACGTGCTATGTCTGCATGCAGTTCCTGAGCCGGCTCCTTGAAGGGGGTGCTGGCCGCACGGTGCCCGGCGGAGGCGGCCGCGGGCGTACCGTAGATGGAGGACATGGAGCCCTGTGTGGCGGTCCAGCGGCCACGGTTGCTGGAGGCCCTGGGGGCCGCCAGGCCTCGCTCGGCCTGAAAACGTTTTTCGGCCCTCCGACGCTCCTCGCTCCGTCTCCTGGCCTCGTCAGCACCTGAGCCATCTCGCATCCAGCGATCTCGCCGGTGGGCTTGGAACTGCTGCTTGAGTGTCTTGGGTCGATGGCCGGCATAGGTATTGCTCGCTACTTGTCTGAGCAATGTGGGATGTCATGTTGTGAATCTTGAGCCGATCAAACGCATGAAATGACATCAAAGTTACCGGCCGGCAAGTGTAACTGCCAGACAGGATCCGCTTTTTCTTCTCGCATCTCGCACGACGTCAATGTGGCACAGTTCGCCAGCCATCAGCATCGCTAGAGAAGCAGAGAGTGCATCGTGGTTCGTTCGCTTGGATCAACAGCTTCTTGCCCCCCAAAACACCATAAAACTATCACTGAGCCAGCCGGGAACATTACCGTCCCACAGCAGTCACGAGCCCGAGTTGTCTACTCCGCAGTTTTGCAGAGTTACTGAGCTATCTTACAGCCTGTGGCAGATTGTGCACAACGACACCAGTATTTCCTGTGTTTCTTGCGGACGCGTCGCTGTAAGACATCTGAGTGAAACAAAGCCGGCCGGTGGATGGAGTGCGGCCTGCAGCTGCTTCTGTGTGCTTCCGAACTTCCCCCGCCACTTCCGGACTGCTTCTGGTGCCTATTCCTTCTCATCGAGGGCTGCATCGGTCCTGTGCGCAGGTGCGAAGGCCACTAGGACCCAGCGATCGCGACTTGGAAATTCAAGTTATCTAGTCTATACTGCCCTGTTATGCCCTGTTCTGGTGCTGGACACGGTAGGCTTCAGTGGCACCGTGCACATTGTCATGCCGCGGATGTGAGCACAACGGGAATTCACCAGGTGTTCCTGTCACCAATTCCGAAGCTCGCAATGCCCCCCCCCCGACTTAAGTCGCATGACTTGCATCTCTGCTGGTGCCTCTGACGCTCCTCTGAGCGCTCCCCATCGCCGGGGCCCTAGGTCGGCGAAGGCTTGAGGAATTTTAGGTCTTGCAGGTGCAAAGGGATGGCCTAAACATGCTATCGGCTGGCCACCTTAGCTTTTTGATGTGCCTCAGGCCCGAGCCGTGAAGCGCATCTCTGCCTTTCCAGGTGCTGTCTGCTGCTGCTTTGAAACGAGCTGATAGATCCGACCGCCGCTGAAGTTTGTACGCTTCGCAACGAAGCCGCTCCCGACGGGCCTCATCCACCCCTTCGATGGCAAAGCGGTTCCTGCAGGCTTGATCCGTCGACAGTCTACCATGCCACTTTGTCAAGCTTCGTTGCGTCGACCCATGCTTAGCTCGTACTTGCGTGGCTCAAGATTTCGTCACGAGGCGAAACACATCATATGTGCAGTAGAACAAGTAGCCGCGGGTTGCCGGGACTTTTGGTTTTCGAGGTATGCCAGCCCACGAAGGAGGTTGATGTAAAATTCGTGTCCATTGTGAAACTTGGCCTAGGGTGGGATCGTCCGCCGCAACACGGCATAGCTAAGCAGCTCAGCTACAACCATCAGGATCACATGATGAACTTTCCCCATCCCCATGCTGCTTAACGGCTGCCTCTGCTACAAGCCCTCTGCAGCGCGAATCACTCTTAAAGCAGAAGCCGAAGGCGTTGCCATACGCATCCAGCCGTCTCCGGGCCGTCTCCCTCACTTTGCTTTGCATAGCTTTGCATTGCGTCGGGCACGGATGGCACAAGCAGCTCTTGTGCCTTCCTCGGTCGAGCTGCCCGATCCGCCATTGTACGTCGTGTGATTGGTTTGGCTGTACCGCGTGTGAAACGTGAGGTACCGCTGCCAGACAAGGCACCAGCCAGACTAAGTGACCTGCCTTATCTCTCCAGAACTCGATGTATCTCCGCATCTCCAAGAATCCGCCGCATGTCGTGACGCGAGGCATGCTGCTCTAAAACACCGTGATGACCCCGACTCTTCAATGTGCCATGCTGACGAGATGTTGCAGTCCCGTCCTCCAGGCTCCTTTGTAGACCAGCCAGCTGGAAAGCTGAGGGAAACCTGTGAGCAGATGTCAGCCAAGACAGCCAGGGCTTCTCATAGCGGTCATGGCCTTGAAAGGCTGCACAGTGCTGCACGGAGCACTGGTCATTGTCCTTTGAATCACAAGCGGTCCGCATATGTCCGCATGCTGCACAGGGATTATCAACACACCCAAACCTTGAGCGCATTTGCCACTTTTGGTTGTCGCTGCCATGACTCTCCAGTGCTTTGCTCGGAACACTGGAAAGCATCACTCCTTACGAATTCAGCTCCTTGTGCTACTGCTGACTTTTTTGGTGCCAGCAGAGCTCTCGCATTCAGGCTTTCTTGAAAAGCGAGGAAATCTCGCACATATCGCATGATCGGCCATCTGCTGGCAGCTTTCGACCGGAAATGAAGCTCCGAATGGAGTGCTTAAAAACCGTTTCATCTCCGATTTCCCCATGGTGCAAGAAGCAGCACGATGCCACTTCCTGCACCATGGTGACTCCTGTGGAGTTTAGCTGCCCGGTTGCCACAAAGCACAACTCGCTCTGGGCTCCCAGGGGATTTGTTGATCTGCATCGGGGCTCTTCCCAATCTTGGGCATGTGCCCAATAATTAGCGGAGACGCCTGGTAATTGCAGTAGCTTCAGTGCAGAGGCTCTCTTTCGCCGGCTGCTCCAGGTCAGCGAATGATATTGGTATTGCGATAGAGCTCATAACAATTTAACAGCCTACGTGCTAACTCCCTTGATCCTATACGTAGATCATGATCAGAAGCCTGAAGACGTGCATCACAGGGTCTGATGTAGGTGCTGGTTTCGTTGTTTGTCATTGCTACTCTACTTGTTACTGCTTACGCTGCCCCAGTTGAGCTGCTGAGGTTTCTGAGTGCGCGGCCAGCCAATTGGTCTCGGCCTTCTTTTCAACCAGGTACTTTGCAACTTCATGCCGGCCTCCGTCCACCTTGGGCTCTGGGCAAAGGCAGAATGCACACGATACTTCGCAGCTGCAGATGGGTAGAACTCTTGAGTGGAGCCCCAGGGAGCCCTCCAGCAAGAGCATGGCATTGCAAAGTATCAGAACGAAAGCGCGCTTGTCCACTGGGATCCCCTGCAGCTCGGAACAAGGGAGTTTGTCCGAACTTGTCTAAGACGTTGATAGGAGCACCCCTGGCAGGCCGATTGTGAACTGTTGGCGGATCAACACGGCAGCAAGCACGTCGGCCAGACTTCTCAATGAAGTACTCCACCAGGTTCAAGTGGCCGTAGTAGGCCGCCTCACTCTTTCTTTCTTTCTGCCGGGCTTAGGGGTCACTGTCGTGACCCTCAGGCTTTCAGCCCGCCCGTCCACCCCCTGTGTTAGTAAGTGGACGGCTTTGGGGTGTCACTGACCGTTGCACCGACTACGGAGTGTGTTGTAGAAGTCCGAGCTGTCACCCCCACTCTCTCTCCCTCTCTCTCTCTCGCGTCTCTCCTCGGGCGACTGTGCATAAGTCTGACTAGCGCATTCAGTCCCGGTCCCCGACCTCGTGCAGGGGCGTGCGCTCCTGGTAGTCCTCTCTTGCGCCGGGTGGGGTTGATGTTTCTGACGGCACTTGGCCTTCGTAACCAATGTAGGATCTGGTTCGGATCATCCTGGGGTCCTTGAAATCGATAGTGGCTCCTTTCTCCACCAAGGCCTTGACAATGACCTGGCAGCTAAGCGCACCAAGTAAGTGCAAATTTTCTCTACACAGCACCTCGTGATTTCTCCATGTTGCTTCCCACAAGGCGGACCTCAGCACTGAAAGCTCTGAAAACCGGCAGCACCGTGAAGCACTGCACGTTGTGAACAGTGACAGCTTGCAGGAGGCGAGGGTCACACCGGAAGTATGGCTTCTCAGAGTAGTCCAGATCGATGTGCATCTTGACAGCCTGCAGCCATGTCTGGGTAGCAGGAGCTTTGCCTGCGTAGAACAGCAAGTGGCGGCATCCTCGCCTCCGCAAGGAGCTGCTTCATGCCAGCATCGCCCTCCCATCGGCCCTTTCGAGCAAAGGTGATGAGGAGCCTTCCAGCGATCAGGGTAGGCTTGTGTTTTGAGATGCGCGCAGCCGCACAGAAAAACGGTTCTCCTCTGACGGAAGTGGCAATGAGTGGCACATCCGTCCTGCTGGTCTCTTTCGTACCACCGCTTTGCATGGCTGCAGGTGGTTGGGCGGACAGCCAGCCCAGATTGCCGAAGTGCGACAAATATCAGAATGCTTTCCCGCAGCATTTCTGCACTATGCCTTGCCGAGAGCTGGACTGCCATGCCGCTGCACAACAACTTTGCATCCATTCTTGAGAACCAACTTCAGAGCAGCAACACGGCCAGACATCCATCCCGACAAGCAGCTTGGATGCTCCTTTTGCACATGCTGTGCGGTCCCTTGCAATGACTCGCTCATTTTATGCGGCGCAGCTTGGCACAGCAATGTTGCGTCCAGACGTATCAACGCACGTGCACTTGAACATGCCAATTTCTCTCGGCCGGCATGGTCTGTACTGCTAGCCTGCATGCTTGAGTCATATTCATAGCAGATTTAGCAACAGGAGTAAGGAATAAACTGCGGTTCTCAGCACAGACTTAAGGCTTCAAGATGCTGCTGTGTGGCACTGCCACTGGCTCCCCAAATCAGCTATTCACGACGCTCGTGTTATGTTTCCAGTAGCAAAAAACTGAGGTACCTACGCACTTGGATGGACAAATGGCTTCGTAGATAGACCGGTAGGAAGGGTGCTCGCCGCACCTTGACCACGACAGCATCAGTAGGGCTTTCCACAAGAGTGCGCCAGAATGGGCTTGATGCAGTCAAGCTCTTGCCTCGGTCCCAAGATGGGGGTTTCCGAATATAGGGGACCCTAATATAGTACAATATAGTACCCTAAATAGTAGGATCCTTATTATAAGGACCCCTAAAAAAGGTACCCCTATTTTCGGAAACTCCCAGATTTGGTGATCATGTGCGCGGCCACTGCGGTGTTGAAAGATTACGCAATGCCCCTTCGAGCTTTCTGCACCCGCAGCTTTATGCCAACACGGTTCGCTACTGTGAAGCACGCGCAAAGCTACTCGGTGGAGGCCTGTTTAGCCGAGTTGCTTCAGAATCTCAAGCCTGGAGAACAGCAAGGCCGGATTCTGCTGGGACTCGCTCCAAACCTTGTGAGGCCGAGGAGTCGGATGTCTGGAGAAGCCCTGCCCTCTGGAGCTCTGGGTCTGAAGCTGAAGCTTCTGCCTCCTCGCGTATAGAACAAATAATAGAAAATATGTACTATGTAGTAACAAGTATAATATTTATATATAGATATATAACATATTATACCCTGGAAATCTGTGTTTAACAACACCTAAACATGAATGTCGGAGCCCAGGCACGATCAGCAGAACTGGGGCCGTCCGGTTCTCAGCCGGGGGGGGCATCCTCAGTGAAGCAGTCTCACTGACGTTCTGACAAGCTCAGTCACGCTGGGTAGAGTCACGAAGCATATATTCAATCGGAAGAAGTGCAAGACAGACATGACAAGGATACCGATTGCAACGACCAGGATGCTGCAAGAACTGTTGCTTCTGATGTGAATGGTGAGCACAACGACGACGAGAACGGTTAGGATAAATAATAGGGCACGTCGTGAAGACCGTGACCCTGATGGCGGTTCTAATGACGACGATCACGACGCGACGACGACAATGCCAACTGGTGATGGCGATCATGACGGTGACGCAAAACAGATCAACCTAACCAGACTCAGCTTAGTGCGGCAGAGCAGAGCACATGAAAACCTCAAAGTGCAGCTCCCCGCAGAGATATTTCCGATGCGAGTTCATTTGCTTCCGGTTGGTGGGGCATCAGACAACGGCAGCCGGGACACAGGAACGTGGTGCAGGCCACCATCGCATTGTCGCACGTAAACAAGGCGTCCTCGCACTTTAGTGGCAAGTGCTTAGGCTTAGGCAGCCTGCAGCTTAGATCCGGTCTCCTCAAAGGTCGGGAGAATGTCCGGAGAGATGTACTCAGCGGCAAGTTTGAATTCACCAACGGCCTTGGAGGTCTGGCTCTCTTCCACCGTTTGGGACGTGCAGAAGCCACATTCTTGCACCAGTGCTTATGCAGCTTGAAGCCGGCGGCACTTGAGATAACCGCCAATCCAGAATTCTCGACCTCACCAAGTCAATCGTTTTTGTGTTTGCTTTGCTGCGGAGACGTGGATCCTTGCCTGCTTGGGTCTGGCAGCTGCAATGACACCACCACCCTCGTCAGTGATCACGATGTTCCTCTGATGTCTTTGAAGCACGCACACACACACACACAAACACACACACACACACACACAAAAAAAAAAAAAACACGCACACACACACACACACACACACAAAACACACACACACACACAAACACAGACACAAAACCACAAACACACACACACACACACACACACACACACTCTCTCTCTCTCTCTCAATATACGCAGACCTTGGCAAACATACTGTACCTTCGAAGGTGTAAGGAATGCCTTGCCAAGCAGCGTTACATCATCCTGAGTTGATTGCTGAACCGTCACTTGCGCGAGGCTTATGGGACGTGCCTCCATCTGTCTGTATCCAGACTGCCAACAGCAAAGCTGATGTGAAACTGCTTCTGAGTGAAGCTGCGCTGAATGCCATGCACTCCTCAGCATGTCCTGTCCCGGCCCGTTCTATGCCATTTCATCATTTGGCTGTTTATCAGGCTGCGCCGAGGCTCAGTTAGCGCTTTTGCCAGCACCGCTTCGATCTCCTGTTTTCACAGAGGGCACTCACGCCTAGCCTGGCCTATAGGCTGTTGGGTGCGCATGGCACCCAAACTCATGCTCCATATCCATGAACGATTGATTGACAGCTCTTGGGGTGAAACCCCGCCTACCAGACTCGGACTTTCTCAACTGCGTGTGCCAGATGTGACCTTGCACCTGTCTGATTACTGTGATGATTTCAGCACAGGCATGTGGCCTTGAAGCGTAACATGGCTTCCGCAGCCAGTGTCGGCTCGCCCCATGCAGCTGAGCCACTACAGCACAGATTCACGTGCGCAGATGCAACCGTGATCAGTCATGCCTTCGTGCGAATGAGAACAAGTCACGGAAGCCAAAGAACCCACCCCACGTACTTCCTGTGCTCGGGCGCTCGAAGCAAACCTGCATTTCCGCATCTCTTTTGTGTCGGCACTGTCGTGCACGAACAAGGCTGGTGGTCTCTGGTCTTTCAACTTCAAAAGCCAGCCGAAAAGCCGCTGAGGCCTTTCGGGAGGCATGGACCAAACAATTTGCACATGGGAAGTTTAACCAAGAGTTGAAGGAAAGGAGTGCATGATACGATACTTTCTAGCTGCACCATCAAGCAACAGCCCAGCCCCGTTGAGGTGCTGGGCTCAGCAAAACTTAGATCAGCCGCCACTGCGGCTTCACTGCGGGAGAGCCATGATCACAAGACTGTACGACTGGCTTTGATGCGTGAGGAGTGTGCCTGCCAATTTGCCATTTACTAACCTTGGATGTCGTCTACTTGAAACATGTTTCCGGAGTTTGCCTCGCCAAAACCTTCAGGCTTGGCAGGCGCACGGATGACTCGCCCTACTAAGGAAACCGACTGAATACGTGTGATGTAGCCGATTCTAGCGTGCGCTTCACTGAATGCAATACTCTAGCTCCGGTGCATAAGCCATTCACAAAAACGTCCAGAAAACGTGTGCTGACTACATCACGAGCTGGAATTCTGCATGTTCAAGATCTTCGCGCCATGCTCTCGTGGTCTTGAATGAAACAGCATGCAGCATGCCGCATGCCGCTAGAAAGTGAGATGTGCACTCAGGTCTAGCACAACCTGGACACCTGCGTGAACCTTTGTGTCTAGTTGTGCTGATGTGCTGCTTTCGAACCGAGCATTTGAGAGCATAGCACGAACGGCAAACGAAATTAGCTTTGTCAGGGAGGCTCGCGGTGGCGCCATGCGACGATGCGAGGCCCTGGCTTGACAAGGCATATACGGCCTTGGCCTGTAAAAGTTGCCTGCTCTACACGATCGGGCAGACTCAACACGTGCGTCTCTGCAAGTACATACCCATTACACAGCAGACTCCTGCCCCTCCGGTTTCCATCCTCGCTGGCCCTCTCCTCGTCCCAACTGGTACGATGGCCAACAAAAAGTTTTCAGCGCATCGGGTTGTGCAGCACGGGTTTCGGGAAATCTCGAGCACATCACTGGCAGGTGCTTATCGGCGTGTCTTGGGGGTTTTTCGGCAGGTGAAGTGTGAGACTTCGGGTTTGGAGCTTCAGCCGTGGGTTTAGTTAGGGGGTTCCAGGGATGGTGGCTTTACTGCCCCAGTGACGGGACTCCAGCGTCTTGCTGTCACTTGCGGTTTTGAAAAGCAAAAAATCCGCCAGACCTGCAGTGGCCTCGGATGTGATGTGGGAAGATTTTACCACCGGCACTGACAGTGGAGCTTTTCCAAGTTTGAGATGTTGCCCCTAATCCCTAAACCCTGAATTGATTTGAGGGCCCACTGTTCCCTGGCAGATGCTGGTCTCCACTCGTGGACTCCCGTGCCTAGCCGGTGCGGATGATGCCCGCTGCTATGAGCTTGGACACCGCTTCTTGGAGCTTGGGGTCCTGGTGGGAGGTAAAGGGCTCTAGGGGTGCCCTAGGGTGCCATGGCATGTGACGCGGGAGATCATAGACGTCTCAAAGGGGTTCTGCGGACAGAGCAAATTGAGGCTTCACACACCGTGCGGTCCGACATCATCTGCTTCTGCGCTTCTTGCGGGTTGCTCTGCATTTCCTTCAAGAACATGTTGATCTGAGGGTCCTGTCACAACAGTGCGGGTTCATGAAACTTTCCTAATGTGATGTCTGCAGACAGACGCCATCACCACAGAAAGCTGGGACCATGGCATGCAGGATCTGTTGAATTTCTGGATCTGCCATCGCATGGCGGACCTGCTCTTCGTCAACCTCCAACGGGGCTTAGCATGGTGCACTGGTGCGACGGCAAATCAGAGCAGCAGCCTGCAACTTCGCTGGAACCCCTGAACCGAGCGGACTTTTGAAACTGGCTTTTGCTCGAGACGCATGCCTCGCTGCTTGCAGGCTTGCAGGCTCAGCTTTTTGAGCGAAAACTCGAAGTGCTCTTGCATGATTAAACATTTGAGGCCGGCCGGAGAGAGCATGTCTGGAGGGGCGGGGGGTGGTCTAGTCACGGAGATGTCCGATTTGGATGGGCTTCCATGCAGCTTGCGAGCTCTGTTAGCCTCTGCCATGGGCAGCGCATCGACTTGCCCATTGAAAACCACCGGCATCGACACGATTGCACATGCGATGCAACTTCCAAACTTGTACAGAGGGCAGTCGAGTCGAGGCCGGAATCTGGGACTGGCTGGTGGTGCAAGGTGCTGCCTCTCAAATCTCTGGAGGATCCTGATATCGAGAGGGCACGAGGGGCGTCTTGCGCACTCCAGTGAATCTGCAAGCGAACGCAGGAGATCTGATGCTATTCAACTTCACAAGGCTTTGTTCTCGACATACTGAAAATCTGTTCAATGATTAAGGCCGCCACCGTGACGCCTGCAGCGACCAGTGACTTGCTGATGTTTCGCAGGTACCTGCTCACGTGGCTTTCGTCACGCTTCAGTGGCTGCGAAAGCTCTACGAGAATCAGAGGGATTTCTGTGCAGACTTGTCCGTCAAGCTCTTTACTGGCCACTGGTGGCCCTTCTTAGGGCACGAAGAGCCGAAGCTGCAGAGAAGCATCATGGAGGCCAGAATCATCCGGAATCTTATATAAAGTCTTATCAGTCTTATCTCTTCCATCTTCCTCCCTCTCCTGTAGCCGAGGTCGGAAAGCGGATGAAAGCCCTTCGGGGGCTCACGCGAGGTCGGCCTGTAGGGCTTGAGGACCAGGCGGAGGGCCAAGGAAACCTGGGGCCCGGGAGAACTCGCGTCCAAGGCCTCTGCCGGATCGGATGTCCTACATCTGCCCTGAGATTGCAGTTGCCGTCAAAAAGGCCTTTTTCTCGTTTAGTCGAAAAGAACTGCTACGGTACTGGAGTGCATGCGGCTTCTGCCGACACCACTGGCAGCTGACTGTAGGTGTGACATAGTCCTCTGACTCCCCCCACAAGGGAGGTGCTAGCATCTCTTCTGTGGTTACCATGGATAGCAGCGAAGGACGAAGAACTGCAGTCTGAGTCTTCGAGCCACTTTCAAACGAAAGGAAGAGATGCTGTGCTGGCGGCTCTGGCAGCCAGGGCCTGTCTACTCTCGAAGATTCCCCCGAAGCTCCGCTTTCAGGCAGAAAAGTATCGGACGCCGGTCGTTATGCCGGCGGTTACATGTGGCATCCTTTGGCCTGTCTAGCGTCTTCTGGAAGGTTGTGGGCCTGTCCTTCTGGAAAGCCGTGAGTGCTGAGAAAGGCCGGATCAAGCCTGAATCAAACCTACCAACGGCCCAGCCGGCTGCGAAACGCATGCTAACAGGTTTATGTATGTGGGTTCTTCGCTGCAGCGCTAGTGGCTCGATCCAGCTGGAAAACAGCTTCCTTTCAGTTTCCGGAAATGCAGCGTGAAAGAGCTTCTAAGTGTTTGATGAAAAGCTTGTGACGTGACACGTCTCTACCTTGCAGAATTCCCCTGATTTAGCAGAAGCATGTCTGTCAAAGAATTATGCTAAAGACGGCCAATTAGAAGGAAGCAGCTCTCATGTACAATCATAATAATTAAAGCATGTCGGAATCTCTGCAGGACACCTAACAACATTGATCGCTGGAATCTTGCATAGGCTGCCACTGAGAGTTTGCACACAAAGCTCAACTGGAACCTACCGGCGCCGCAAGGGGGACACGACTTTGTGCAGGCACAGACAGCCCACGCAAAGTCAAGGCATAGGAAACTGAATGGTCGCTCGCTAGAGACATTAATTTACCTGCATGCATCACTTCGCACCTTCGGGAATCTTGCATTTGTCTGCAGCGGGTGCACACTGTGATGCAATTCATGAGGTGAAATCGAAGGCTAGATTAACTCGGAATTGAGCCGCACTCGCTGTGCACCGCTTCAATCCTGAGTGTCCAGGGCCGAGGTGTCCAATAAATCCCCAAATGCTCAGAGGTTCGTTGGAAAAACACACTCTCCTCAAATTCCACACTCAACGACACCAGCTGGCTCGACCGTTCCTAGTCACAACCACTTCTTTCTCTTACCTTTGGTTATTCGGGAGTGGAAGAATGGTAGTAATAGTAGTTAGAATAGTACCCCATTCCTCCATTCCCTACTAACCGAAGGTAAGTTCTGTGGCCCCTGGCCTCCAATACTTTACATTCTCGTTATGACCAGCTCGCTCTTCGACTGGGCCTGACAGGAGCCGAGGAAACGTGAATCCCGCCGAGCCAGAGCAGCTAAGCTAGCTACCTGGGAGTTTCCGAAATTAGGGGTACCTTATTTTTGGGGCCCTTTCAGTAAGGATCCTACTATTTAGGGTACGATCTTAGCTATTTACGGAAACGGTGGCCCATACTGTAGGTGAAGCAGCTCAAAGCAATAGGACAGGAACACCGGCCAGACTTGGTTCTACCGCTGCACCAGCCTGGTACTCTCGAAAGTCGGCGGAGTTGTCATCCACGGACATATCACTCAGCCCCCGGGTTCGCTCAATGCGCTCGGCAAGGGCGGAGATCGACATCGATCCAGTCCCTTGCGGATTGCCTTCAGATCGCCCCAAAGGTGAAAGTTTGGAAAACAAATGACCAGATGAAGGCTTCGCTTAGGTCGTGCGACTTTCCCGAGGCTCTCTGGTTCGCGCGCTTCAGTCGCGGGAGCTTCCGTGCGACTCTGATGTATGAGTATGACCGTCATGACATGCAAAGTGCCGTCCAAGAACCCCCTGGGCTCGCATATCCTCTTCGCATCGACGGAGACATCGATGACGAGCTCGTGGGATGACGGACGAAGTCAAGCAGCATTTCCTCGGGTTTGCCAACGCTGCAGTGCTGATTCGAACCTCCCTGGCCCTGGCTTTGATCTAGGTGCGACCCGTGAGGTCTTGGCAAGAGTCTACTTTGACCAACTCTTCGCACAAGCTTCGGCATTGCATCCGATGCAACATGCACAGTCAGTTTGACGCACTGTTGCACGCCCCCCAAACGAACGACGCTGTACTGTAGTGGCTCCTTCCCCAGTTGCATCTGCAGGCTAGCCTAATTGGTCGTCTACTTTGCTGCCAAGGCACATTATCCAAGTGAGCTAGATGAATGTCAACGCGCTCCAATAAATCACCGAACAGAACCTTCTTCTTCTTGACCTGACACCAAACTTTTAAAGCTAGGCTGGTGCAGGCTTGTGAGGGCTGGCGTGCCTCAACACCGTTCTCCAAGGAGATGTGAGTAAAAGTTCGAGGGAAGATGGCTTCCCTTTTCCGCTGCATCATGCCATACAGGATCCCGGTCCCCTCGTTGCTGTCAACGCCACCTTGGCAATGAACCCTCAGGCCGACCCTCAAAGTTGCAATGCCACTCCGCGGACCTGGCATTACTTGTCAAAGTCTGCCCAGGCACGTCTCTCCGCGGCAGCCACACGGTAGTAGAGTCCGACCAGCGGCAGAACAAGCTGCTCACGATCCTGCGACTGCCGGTGGCTTCTGGCTTCGTGGGTTTTGCCGCAGTGGTAGCCAAGGAAGCATTGAAAGCTTGCATGTAGCCAGTATTAGCGAACGTAAAGTCGTCGTCCAAGTACCTGTATAGGTTGTAGTGCAAACAGCAGCAGCGGCAACAATAGTAACTTGAGAGCAACGGGCTGGGACGAAAGCTCTTTCGGTTGCCCTAAACCCTAAACACTGGCAGGAGCAGTTTTGATCCAACATGTCAATAAGAGCAGTTTTGATTCAACATATTAACTCCTTGCCAGACAAAGACTGCGACAGGCGAAGCAGGTTTTGACCCAACATACCAACTTCTCGCCAAACATAGACAGACAGACATGTTGCAGCACGCCCACAAGCACAACGTGGCCACGATACGACCAGTATCAGCAGCATCAGCCGACACGCCCAGGACTCATCAGCAGCATCATGGGAGGCCTGTTTTTCCTTTAGACGTCCAAAAAGCCACTTACCCAAAAGGACCGAAATCTGGCCAAGTCGTTGTCGTACTCGTAGTAAGCAAACGACCGCAGTAGTCAGTGGTCGTGCTGTGGTAGGTGATGGGAGGGCAGGGATTGGCAGGCTTGAGAGGACTGGAGTCGTATGTGCCGCCGTGCGTCGCAAGCCGCAAAGTTCTCGTGCCTGCCAAGGGTGATCTCTGTCGAAGGTAGCCAGTGTCACAGCTTGCTTGGCAGTTGAGGCTCCGCACAAAAACATGCGTGCATTCAATACGCAAGCTCGTAATGCAAGCTTAGGTCTGGCACCTAGAGCAGAAGCAGCTGGCCTTCTGTGACAGCACGTAGTGTGTCCGTCGAAGACCCGCACCACATCCTCGAGACTGATCGGATCGAGCTAGCACTCAAATGAGCAAAGGCCCATGGCTCCTCCATCCATTTCAAATCGACTGGCTCCAGGCCAGTGGGCCTTGGCTGTGTGAAGCTTTGCGTCTTAGCTCATAAGTAGCTGTTCCGGAAGTTGATGCAGCATGCCGACTCCCGTGCCCCAGTTGCAAGTGCGGCTGACACTCAGATCCGGGCTTGTAGAAAAACAAGCTGTCAATGCCATGCGCCGACAGGTGCGCAACTTGCTCGACACGAGTCCAGACACGTGTCTTGTATGTGTCGAAGCCTTAGCAGGCATGACCAGCAGATTCGGAACGGCGAAGGCTGGTTGCGCCTACTTCAACCTAAAGTGCATGCCTATACATAGGCACTCGGCACAACACCGAATTCCAATGCTGTCCTTCATTGTTAAGGTCTACTTGATTGGAAACTACATTTTTCGCAAACTGCAAGAAGGGCGCCGAGTGGTTGACCCGTCTGCTCATGCAGCGTAGGAGGTGCAATGATTATGAGCGCATCGACAGAGGATGCGTAGACCTTCGTCGCCCGACATGCACGTGCTTGGCTTGAAAGTACTTGACCAGGTACTTGTATCCAACAGTCAGCACAAGCACTGCAATGCAAGAAAACTCTTCACTAGCTTGGGCAGCCGCATACAAGGAATTAATTGCCAGCACCTGGACCCCACGATGCTTTTGAGGAATGGAGACGATATCCTGAGCCACACTCTCTTGTGAGAGTTGACATTTGAGCGTTCTTGCTAGCTTGTCATGGCCTTGCTCTAATGATCACTGCCGATCTCAAACCCGGCCAATGCCCCAAGGCTCCAACCAAACGTACATGTTCTCTAAGGTCGCACCGACTTTTTCGCCATAGAGCTTCAGGGCATGGTCCATGGCTCTTCGTTGAATGTTGTCTGGGCCTTGGCGATTCCAAGATGGCCAATGATAGCTGAAGAAGACGATGTGGTTGCCCATCATGTGAAAGTGCGAGATCTCCTGAAAGGACACCCATCTACGGGACATCTCAACACAAGCTCTAGTCACTAGTCCCTGTCTCAGTCCTCTGTGCTGTCCAGCACTCTCAACAGTCCCAGGTCGCGCAAGCCCTCGTGACAGCTCTCCAGCATGTCGCTGGTCAGGTCAACGAAATCCTGGCGCATTGGCCGCCAACAGCATCTACCGACAGCAAATTCTTTGCACATGCCGCCTACCAGCCCCACTCACCCTGCGAAGCGCACACATGTGGAAACACATCATCCTACAAAACATCAATCGCTCAACAATGCATTTTCTAAAAGCATGCAGCCTCCAGCAGTACATTGGTACCACAAGGAAGCTTGTCCCTTGCATGCTTGGACGCTCGCCACGCTGGCTCAGATTTTCCAGGTTTGGCAATTGGTCTTGCGACATGTCTCCAAACGGAAAGAAAGATGCAAACAGACCC